ACCATCCCCCCACTCTCCCCATCACAGCCTCCCAGTTTGACACCTCCAACCCCCACTCCTCCCTCCCAGTTCCCTCAGTCCTCCCAGTTTGGGGCTCCATCCTCCCACTCCCCCCATCCCAGTCTCCCCAGTTTGGGGGCTCCATCCCCCACTCCTCCCTCCCAGTTCCCCCAGTCCCCCCAGTCTTCCCAGTCTGGAATCTTCATCCACCCATTCCCTCATCCCAGTCCCCCCAGTCCTCACCCCCTGTCCCCCCTGTCCCCCCACAGCCGCCGCCGATGGCTCAGGACAACGCCGCCTTCTGCGGGGTCCCCGAGGGGGTCCCCACGGGGGTCCCAGCTGAGGCCAAACCCCCTCCCCCTCCCCCCCAAGCCCCCAAACGTCGCCCGTGGGGGGCCGGGGGGGGCGCGGTGACCCGGAAGCGCCAGCGCTACGTGGAGAAGGACGGCAAGTGCAACGTGCAGCACGGCAACGTGCGCGAGACCTACCGCTACCTGACCGACATCTTCACCACCCTGGTGGACCTCAAGTGGCGCTTCAGCCTCCTCATCTTCATCCTGGCCTACGCCCTCACCTGGCTCTTCTTCGGCCTCATCTGGTGGGTCATCGCCTACAGCCGCGGCGACCTGGAGCACCTGGGCGACCACAGCTGGACGCCGTGCGTCAACAACCTCAACGGCTTCGTGTCCGCCTTCCTGTTCTCCATCGAGACCGAGACCACCATCGGCTACGGCCACCGCGTCATCACGGACACGTGCCCCGAGGGCATCGTGCTGCTGCTGCTGCAGGCCATCCTGGGCTCCATGGTCAACGCCTTCATGGTGGGCTGCATGTTCGTCAAGATCTCGCAGCCCAACAAGCGCGCCGAGACCCTGGTGTTCTCCTCGCACGCCGTGGTGTCGCTGCGCGACGACCGCCTGTGCCTCATGTTCCGCGTGGGCGACCTGCGCGACTCGCACATCGTCGAGGCCTCCATCCGAGCCAAGCTCATCCAGTCCAAGCAGACGCAGGAGGGCGAGTTCATCCCGCTGGACCAGACCGACCTGAGCGTGGGCTTCGAGACGGGCGACGATCGGCTCTTCCTGGTGTCGCCGCTCATCATCAGCCACGAGATCGACGAGCGCAGCCCCTTCTGGGACGTGTCGAGGGGGCAGCTGGAGAGGGACGACTTCGAGATCGTCGTCATCCTCGAGGGCATGGTGGAGGCCACAGGTAAACGGGGCGGGGACGCCTCGGTGACACAGGGACGTGTCTTTGTGGGGACACATCCGTGGGGACACATCCATGGGGACATCATCTCAGGGGACACGTCCATGGGGACACATCCATGGGGACATCGTTTCAGGGGACACCTCCATGGGGACACGTCCATGGGGACACATCCATGGGGACACATCTGTGGGGACACATCCGTGGGGACATCATCTCAGGGGACACCTCCATGGGGACACATCCATGGGGACACATCCGTGGGGACACATCCGTGGGGACATCATCTCAGGGGACATCATCTCAGGGGACATCATCTCAGGGGACACATCCATGGGGACACATCCGTGGGGACATCGTTTCAGGGGACACATGCATGGGGACATCATCTCCATGGGACACGTCTGTGTGGGAACTCGTCCATGGGGACATCATCCTGTTCCTGAGGACATCTCATCTCCGTGGGGACGTCATCTTCTTGAGACCCATCATCTCCACAGGGACACGTTGTCTCTTTGGGGACACATCCATGGGGACATCATCTCATGGGACATGTCATCTTTGTGGGGACACCTCCATGGGGACACCTCCATGGGGACACATCCATGGGGACACATCTGTGGGGACACATCCGTGGGGACATCATCTCAGGGGACATCATCTCAGGGGACACACCCATGGGGACACATCCGTGGGGACATCGTTTCAGGGGACACATCCATGGGGACACCATCTCCATAGGACACGTCTGTGTGGGAACTCGTCCATGGGGACATCATCCTGTTCCTGAGGACATCTCATCTCCGTGGGGACATCATCTTCTTGGGACCCATCATCTCCACAGGGACACGTTGTCTCTTTGGGGACACATCCATGGGGACATCATCTCATGGGACGTGTCATCTTTGTGGGGACACCTCCATGGGGACATCAACATCTCCACAGGACACATCATCTTTGTGGGGACATCATCTTCTTGGGACCCATCACCTCCATGGGGACAGACTGTCACCTTGGGGACACCTCCATGGGGACATCTCATCTCCATGGGGACAGATAATGTCATTGGGGACACCTCACCTGTGTGGGGACACCTCACCGGCATGGGGACATCTCTGCTGGGGGTTTCACAGCCCCCTCTAACAGATTTGGGGTCCCCTGGGTGCAGCTCAGACCCCAAATTACCAGATTTGGGGTGTTCCATGCCCTGGACTCTTCACATTTTGGGGTGCTGCTCTCACCCTGACGCCCGTGCCCCCCAGGGATGAAGTGCCAGGTGTCCCTGGCAGACAAGGTGGGGTCAGGGGGCTTCAGGTATTGGGGTCCCCCAAAATCTGGGGGTTTTGCAGACCCCTCCTACCAGATTTGGGGTACCCCACGTCCTGGGAGCTTCAGGGTTCCCTGTGTCCTGAACGATTCGGGTATTGGGGTTCCCCTGACCCCCGTGCCCCCCCAGGGGTGACGTGCCAGGTGTGCAGCTCGTACCTGGTGGACAAGGTGGGGTCAGGGGGTTTCAGGTATTGGGGTCCTCCCTGCCCTGAGGGGATTCTGGTATTGGGGTTCCCCTCACTCCTCCCATTTTGGGGTCCCCCGTGCCCCCCAGGGATGACGTGCCAGGCTCGCAGCTCGTACCTGGCGGACGAGGTGCTGTGGGGTCACCGCTTCACGCCGCTGCTCAGCCTCGAGGAAGGTTTTTACGAGGTTGACTACGGGGGCTTCCACCACACCGTGCCCGTGCCCACCCCGGCCTGCAGCGCTCGCCAGCTGGCGGCCGCCGCTGCCCGCCGCGATGCCCACCTGTACTGGTCCATCCCCAGCCGCCTGGACGAGGCGGCGGCGGCGGGGGGCGAGGGGGACCCCGAAATGTCCCCCCGTGAAAGCAACGGGACCTTGGCCAGCCCCGAGTCGCGGTGATGCCACCGAAATCTGGGTGTGTATATACGAAAAATCCCCCCCCTGGTTTGATGGTGGTGGTGGGTTTGGGGTGTCCCTGGGTTTGAGGGGTGTCCCTGGGCTCCGGGGGCAAAGGGGACCCCAAAAATCCCCAGCAAGAGCAATGAGCCCCGAGTTGCAGTAATGCCACCAAAATTTGGGTGTATGCCATTCAAATCCCAAAATCCCCCTCGTTCTAACGGTGGTGGTGGGTTTGGGGTGTCCCCGAGTTTTTGGGATGTCCTTGGGCTTTGGGGGGAAAAGGGGGACCCCAAAATTTCCCACGAGAACAACGGGACCTTGACCAGCCCCGAGCTGTGGTGATGCCACCAAAATCTGGGTGTGTGTAATAAAAACATCCCCAAATCCCCCCCTTTCTAACGGTGGTGGTGGGTTTGGGGTGTCCCTGGGTTTGTGAGGGCAAAGGGGGACCCCAAAATCTTTCAGGAGACAAACGAGACCATGGCCAGCCCCGAGTCACCAAAATCTGGGTGTGTGTAATAAAAATCCCCCCCATTGGGATGGTGGTGGTGGGTTTGGGGTGTCCCTGGGTTTGTGGGGGAGATGGGGACCCCGAAATTCCTGGGGTGAGCAATGGAACCTTGGCCAGCCCCAGGAGGCACCAAAACTTGAGTGTATCGAATAAAAATCCCCCGATATGATGGTGGCGCTGTTTTTGGGGTGCGGGAGGTGGATTTGGGGTGTCCTTGGTTTTGGGGTCTCGGGGGGGGGAGGGTGGAGGGGCAATCCACTGAGGAATTAGGGGTGGGCAGAGTGACCTCACCCCAATTCCTACAGGGGTGGCAGGCAGGGGTCAGTGCCATCCCTTCAAGGACATGGGGACCCCCAGAGTGGGCAGGGGGCTCTCCAAGGACCTGGGGACCCCCAGAGTGGGTGTGGGGTCTCCAAGGACCTGGGGACCCCCAGGGTGGGCGAGGGGCACCGAGACCCCCGTGCCAGCACGGGCAGGGGTCACTGAGGTGGGCGAGGACACGGAGCCCCCCCCTCATTGCTCCCCAACCCCCCAAAATGTCCCCACGGCGTCCCCCCAGCTTTGGGGGGCGGTGCTGGAGGATGCGGAACCGAGCGGGGCCGAAAGGAACCGAGCGGGGCCGAAAGGAACCGAGCGGGGCCGAAAGGAACCGAGCGGGGCCGAAAGGAACCGAGCGGGGCCGAAAGGAACCGAATGAGGCCGAGCTGAGCCGAGCCGAGGCTGAGGGAGCCGAGTGTTTCCGAACGGAGCCGATTGAAGCCGAGCTGAGCCGAGCCGAGGCTGAGCGGAGCCGAGCTGAGCCGATTGGGGCCGAGCAGACCCGAACGGAGCCGATCCGAGCCGAAGGGGGCTGAGCTGCACCCCCTGACCCCGCCCCCTCCCCCGTCGCGCGTGGGGGTTGGGGGGGTCAGGGGCCGCGACCACCCCAAAAACACCGAAACCTGCGACCCCCCGAGCCCCTCCGAGCCCCCCCGAGCCCCCCCGAGCTCCCACGCGTGTCCTGTGTGTGACACGCGTGTTGTCCCCCCCTGTCCCCGTGTCCCCCCGGCTGTCACATTCCTGCCGCCCACGGGCAGCAGCTGCGCGGGGCGGGGGGCGGGGGGGCACGGGCAGGGACTGGGGGGGACTGGGAGGGACTGGGGGAGGGCTGGGGGGTGGCTGGGGGGACTGGGAGGACTGGGATGGACTGGGGGGGACTGGGATGGACTGGAGGGGACTGGGATGGACTGGAGGGGACTGGAAAGGAGTGGAAGGGACTGGGGACGACTGGGGGGAGTGGGAGAGTGGAGAGACTGGGAATTGGGAGGAGTGGGGTGGGAATAGTGGGAGGACTGGAAGGACTGAGGGGGACTGGGAAAGA